TGGATTTGGTGATGTCGATTTTGATGGTTAGTTATGATCAGTTGGATCAGGAAGGTTGTTGGAGCCACAGTGGTGAGATAGCTAGGACAATTCTTGTCAGATTAGGCATTTGTGCGGAAGTCGCATGATGTGACTGTGTAAGACTAATTGTCTCAGCAACCAAGTGGAAAATCCAGTGAATCGGTTATTTGGTAGGTAAGTTAGGACTAAGGAGGTCTTGGTTGCTTTTGAAAAGTGGCTAGGGGAAACAAGATGAGTTGAGGTAGTATTAGTGATTTGGAACTAGTGTGTGGAGTCGCTTGTTATTGGTAGAATATGCTAAATCACTTGCAACCTGAATTAAATAATCTCAGAGTAATTGATTCGACCCTGCTGAGCAACTCTCGTTTGAGTCTAACCATTGCAGGGATGAGTCTTCTACTTGAAGTATTATCTAAGCCTTCTGTCAAGTAAGAGTGTTTTGCAGCAATGAGTGGTCAGTGATTTTGTTTCCATAAACAACAAGATAATCAAGAGTTCGAAGTGTTTGGATTAGTTCAGAATGCAAGAGGAATGGATATAGCAATGATTCGGTTTGGAAGGTCTGTCGGGGAGTCAGAAGAGTTCAAGATCTCAGATTTCGGGAAGAGTAGGCATGGTTATTTATGCAGGGGATTGATTTAAGTGGAGAAAGGTTTTGTTCTTCATCAGGTTTTGGAAGCTCTACTAAGGTTAGGTTTGGTTGCCTTTGGGAAGGTCGTGTATGCTTAGGGTTGTGGTTGTGTTCCTCAGGCTGTCTGGCGTGCCTAGGATTATAAGGATTTATTTCAAGGATGAAATCGAATTTAAGTGGGGGAGAATTAACACATGGTTCATTATGCTTTTTAGTTTAGACCCTTGGGGGTGGAATGTTTTGTGGATTTGGTCCCTAGGGGAAAAATTGTCAACTTCGGGGAAGTTAGAGTACGCAGGGGGTACTCCTTATATGATAGGCGTACTCATGCAGGTTGATCATGGAGCTTATCTATGTACAATGGGCGTATGTGGAGTACGCTTAGCGTACGTGAGCAGTCTTGAAACCCTAGTTTAAGGGTTTGTACCCTATATAAACCATAAGATAGCCTCTTATTGCCTTGTTTAACCAACCTGGATACCCTTGAAAACCCTAATTCATTCCTTAGCCTTTGTGTGATGCTTTTGAGCTCTTGTAGAGGATTTTTGTGCATCTTGAAGGGAAAGAAGAAACTTAAAGACTCATTCTTTGGAGGAGGGCCTTGAGATCCAGATTTAGCACCTTTATTTCGTGGCTTTTGAGGTATAAAGTTCAACGCTTGTCATCTCATTTCTTAGATCTACTCCTTGGCTTGTTTTTGGTCATTTTGGTCCCTTTGGTTTGTGATTGTGAGTTAAGGATGTTCTTGGAGCTTATCCTTGTAGATCTGGACACATTAAGGGTTTCTTGAGCATAAAGGTGCAAACCTTATGGTGGTTTTGGTCTCATATATGTGTTAAGTCATTCATTAAGCTCTTTTGAGCTCTAAATCCGCGTTAAGCCATGCATGCAATTAAAGTTGGAAACTTTACGTGATAAACCTCTTTAAGGAAGTCAGATCTATGTTTGGGTTGAAGTCTTAATCGATTATGAGCTGAATATAGGAAGTAGGTCAAGATGGTGGAGTACGTTGGGCGTAAAAGCATGTACATTGCGCGTACAAGCCCTCAAGCGTGTACATTGAGCGTACAAGTTGAGTACGCCCTGCATACTCAACACATTGTGCTTAGATCATTTTGGGCTCTCGGTTTTGGGCCATATTGGTCTTTGGTTGTCTTGGGCCTTGTAGGGCCATCTGAATTCTATTATTGGGTTGTTGTGATTTTATTGGACTATCTTAGGCGAAGGCCCATGAAAGGATTTGTGCCCAATTTGGAAACTTGGGCCTTATTTGGGCTTTGGGTGATTATTTTAGATTTTGGATTTTTGGACAATTGGTTTAAGCCTTGGCCTTGGGCCACGTTTGGAAAAGGGTAAAAAGGTCTTTTACCCTATTTTAGACTCTTAGTGCGATTCGGGATCCAATTATTGATTGGATGTTATTTTGTGATTGATAGTGCGGGGATTTTAGCGGATCTGCAGTTAGAGATTTATCTATGGATTTCAGCTATCTGAGATGAGTCTCGTCAATATACTATGGGTCGAAGACACCAATACCGACCCATTAGCTTATGCATTATTGGAAGACAAAGAGGTGGCCCTTAGCATTGTATGTAACACCTGGACGTGGCTCCTGGAAAATTTGTATGCAATACTAAGGTTCGGACCCTGGTAGTTAAGTAGATTATATGCTTGTTGTCTTTGTGATGCTTGCATGGAAGACCAGGAGGTGGCTCTTGGCACTTGTATGTAAGACCTAGGGTATTGGCCCCCGACTTGGCAAGGAAAGACCATGATATGGCTCATGGCATAATAGCAAGGCTATGGCTGGCACATATTATTCTCTATTATATGTATGATATGTGGTATTTTAGGGAACTTATTAAGCTATGTGCTTACGGTTTATTGTTTATTGTTTCAGGTACTTCCGGTTCGAAAGGGAAGGGTCCAGCTTGATCGCAGCGCAAACATCCATGTTTTTCCGCTATTTTGTGATTTTGTGATTGTACTCTGATAACTCCTTTTGGACTGCAGAGGGTCTTCCTTCCAAGCCATATTGATAGTAACAAAACAAACAAATATTGGTAGCAAATACAAAAAAATATTATTAATAATCAAAACATATATACAACAACAAAACGAATGAGAATTAAACATAGAAAAGAAGATAGAAATTTACCAGAACATCAATGCAAAATACCATAAAATATAGAAGCGGGCTGTGTTTTTTATTAATAAAAATAGGGTATTACAAGTATGACGATTAAATTGTGATGACAATCATAATCAAAATATTAGTGACTCTATCAATGTATGTTATAAGATCTGACATGAAATATAATTTTGTTAGAATTTAATCACTCATAAATATAGTTGTCTTGACGATTAACAAACAAAAGATGTTTTTTTTTCAAACAATTTCATTGTGTTTCATTGTATTTTTTTTTATGGATTGGAGCTTACTTGTGAAGTGATACCCAACACATATTAACATTTATAGGTTAATCATATTTCATAACATCAAAATCCACTTTGCTAAAATTTATTCCCCTTTATAAAATCAATCACTTTTACCCATTTTCTTATCAGTAATACCATCCAAAGGCTTTAACAAACTATAACTAACAACCATTGAAATCCACCCTCCAACCAGAACCCTAGTTGCAGAAGACCTCACACAAGACCCACCCACCACCGCCCCAATCCCGCCAAACAAAGCTAACGCCACCGACGCCACCACCACCACCACCACAATTCTAGCAGTATAATCACCAACCGCCATAGCCGCCACCAAAGGAAACACAGAACCACACAGAAACGCCAATGCAGAAGCCGCCCCCGCCTTGTAAGGATTCGGTAAAACTTCATTTTCTTCTTCTTCTTTCATCTTTGTCACCGCCTTCATCGCTGGAGTTCTCACCGGAGCAATGGGTTGATCATTTTTAGGGGTTTCAATCTTGATTTCTTGTAAGCTTGAGTTTTCTTTTGATCGGTGTTCTTGATTCACATTAATTTCAATGTCTCTTTGAGTTGAAACTGAAACGAATTCACCTACAGCCATGCTGCAAGCTCCAGCGACTGCTCCGGCGAGACCAGAAAGGATCATGAACCATTGACCCTCTTGAGCTGCACCAACACCAATCATGAGAGATGTAGTGGATAATAACCCATCATTGGCTCCTAAAATGGCAGCTCGAAGCCATTGAGCTCTTTGCAAACGGCTAACTTTGTTATTTTCTTTTTTAACATTGCAAACCTCCAGTGTTTTAGGAGATTCATAAACCATGATATAAATTTGTAAAAAAAAAAAAAGATTATGTCGAACACTTGGGGGAGTGTGGCTTTCGTGCTTATGGCACACACTTGGTTGTGAAAACAATATATAAATTTTATGAACGGATTGAAAACGATTAAAAGTCTTAGGTGGTATCGTGCAAGATTCTAAGGTGAATTTTTTGGAAAAATATAATCAAGAGAATGTTTGTCTTTCTTTTTCAAATGTTAGTGTTTGTATGATTGAATTTACAAGATACCCGGTTAGTGAAGTTATTTTACATTTTGGGAGTACGATAAAGAAACGAATCCCCCTTCGTACAAGCCTTGAAGCAACCAGTTAAAAATGTTGTCTTGAGAAAAAAAATAACTAAACGTAAATTTCTAAATAGTTAGGACATAACGTAGAAAACCTAATTTTCATTACTTTCTATAATAATTCATTTTTTCTACATATTATTAAGTCATGTCCTCGTTAAGTCGATTAATTAAAAAAAAATAGTAATTTCTTTGGCAAAAAATGCAAAGTGGAAGTTGTTTAAAAAGGACAATAGGTACACAATGCATGATCTAAAAAACAACAAAATATTGTTTTTCCATTATGTGTAATTTATTCTAAAAAAAAGATAAAGAAAGTTTACTTGGGGTAATGTGTGGTGGCAAGACAAAACGACTCATTCTTAGTGTACTAAGCAACCAAACAAAGATAAATATTCTTCTTGTTATGAAAGAAACAAGATTGAACTCCATAAGTGACATATCATATGAACAAATCGAAGAATTTTCCCTAGAATTAAACCCCAAGTAATATATAAAATCATCTAAAGTTTGGCAGATTGAATGTAGCTCCAAAGTATAGCAACGCCATTACCTAGGTACCTAAATTTTGGATCAAGAATTCCCCCAAAACCTATAAAATGTTAATGTCGCAAAATTTCTATCTTAAAGTTTCTATTTTTATCCAAAACACCATCAAGAATCAACCTTTTTGATTACTTGCAAATAAATTGAATGATTATACCTCAAAATGGTGTTTTTTTATTGATAAAAATCAAGAATCCACATATATGAAATCAATGTATAACCAACAATTGAGCTAGCGATAACCATCTCTTCTATCTTGTTCCTCTGCCTCCTTATTTGCAACTTCAACAGATTTAAACCAAAGAAATGCCTGTTTTTCAACTCATGGATCAATCTACAGATGAATATGATAATTAGGTTTCATAAGTAATCAGAATCACAAACTTACAGCAGTTGGAACACCAGTAAACGCAAAGAATCCAAGCACTGGTGCGTAAAATATGCTATCGGAATTCAATACTCCAAAAACGGGTTTTTGATTCACATACTCAAAAACAGATCCAACCTACATCCACCCAAAAAAGAAAACCCAAATCATTTTTCTCACTGAATCAATCAGAAATAGCTAGTAATCAGTAATTACAGCGGCAATGGCGGTGATAGCAGAGGCGAGCAAGTAGACGAAGAATGGGGGCTCGAAAGAGGATGAAGATGAAGTTTGCTGGGTTTCATTACGAGCCCATGGCGGTGGTTCATCGGAGTCCGGTTTAGCCCATGAGGGAGTTGATTGTTCTTCTTCGCCTTTAACAGCAAATACAGTTATCCTTTTGTAAGAATTGCTGCTTCTGTTTGTTGTCTTGTGAGGGGTTCTGAGAGTGAAAATTGAGGGATTTTCTAGGGTTTTTGTGAATGCGGATAAGGTAGCGAGAGGTGGGTGTATAGTGCAGATGGATAATGTTTGCATAGGCATTTTTGTGATTGTGGAATTGAAAGTACAAGTTAAATAGAACTGAAATGATTTGTATAGAAGAGTTTTTTGATTGAAATAAGTGATTTCAGCTGAAATTGGTTTGTGAATTTTGATAGATTGTGTTTTAGATGGTAAGTTGGAACCATTGGTCCAGAAGGGTTGTCCCTTACAGATATCTCATTTTCATTTCCCTTTTGTAAAGATACTTCAATCCATTGGGGATAATAGATTAAATTTTAGGGATAATAACTTGAAAGTGTAAAGAATTTTTGATTTTTTTCACATTTAATCACTAAATTTTTTTTCGTTATCTATTTGCCATTGAACTATTGAAATTGTTCACATTTTACCCTTATGACCGGCTGTTACCGGTCATAAGGGTAAAATGTGAACAGTTTCAATAGTTTAGTGGCATATAGACAACGAAAAAAAGTTTAGTGACTAAATATGAACAAAATCAAAAGTTCGTTTCCCTCTAAAAAGTTCAATGATTAAATGTGAACAAACTTCCTCTTGTATTATGTTTTAGCAAATTATTTATTTGTATTAAATTGTAGCAACATTTGTTGATGAAGAAATCTATGAAATAAAAAAATTAAAAAAAAACCCTAAAAATATATTTAAAAAAAAAAACAAAAAACCAAAACCGAAATAAAAAACCAATGGTTTGACATTTTCCAAAATAAAAAATCAAAAATTTTCAATCTGATTTTGGTTTTACAAAAAAATGAACCATTCTCACGAATGTGAATTATGACCATTGGTTTGGCATGCGAAATTTGTGACATCCCATGAATACGTAGTTACAACATCGTCCAAACTCATAATTCATAGTAAGGGGTTAGAGTATCATTGTATGAATACGTAGTTACAACATCGCTTGAACTCGTAATTCATCACCTACAGGTTATGGGTCTGCTGGTGTTTCCACTGGGTTGTCTAGAATAGTTCGTGGTCGCAGTCTATACTCTCGTAGATGACTACGTCGCCACATTACCGGTTAAGGATTATGGTATCTCCTTTCATCCTACATCACCTATTTATCATCATCTATTTACCTAATTATCATCACCTATCTCTCATCATTTTATTTCATCACACACTAACTATTTCATCTACCCATGTTTCATCCGCAACATATTTGTAGATATAAAATAAATATACCGTTTTAAATCTTTTAAAAACAAGTATAAAATCGTTCATCCAATATAGACAACAAGTATTTATATAATATGCACACATAGCACGTAATTTATATAAAATACTTCATATCTGTGTGTAAGATGAAAGTAACTATATATACCATAAAATCCCATAAATGCTTCCTAGATTCAACCTCAAGGTTTACTCTACTAAAGCTTCATATTCTCGGCTCTCTGGACCTAGAAGGGTCCAGATTCCTAGCTTCAAACCCCAAGGTTTACTCTACTAAAGTTTCATATTCTTGGCTCTCTGGACCTAGAAGGGTCCAGATCTATAACACAAGCTTGCAAGAGGGGTTTGAGGCATTCAAAACCCCAAAGATGAAGTGATTCAAGCCCTAACCCCAAAATGGAATCTACACAATAAGGAAGGAAAGGGGTTCATTTTTGTACCTCAGAATGAAGCTTGTTGCTTAAATAACTCAGAACAACAACCTTCCTTGGTCCCTCTTGCTGGAACTCTTCTCATTTCTTGCAAAATCACACCAAAAATCTCAAGATAGCTCTTCCTCTCACTCTACACACTCAAGCTCGCTAGGGTTCTCACTTATGGGAAAGGTAGTCGCAATTGAAGGCCATAAGTGCCTTTAAATATGGCTCAGGCCCAAAGATTTAGGGTTTCTACCAACAACGCGGACTCGTCAAGTCGCCTCACCGACTCGTCGAGTCCATTTATTAATCCGATTCATCAGTCGCGACCTTACTCAACGAGTTGAGGCGTCAACTCGTCGAGTCTCTCTTCTTAACTCAAAAGAAAAATACTTAAATGATGATACCTGGAAATCCGGATGTTACATTTTGTTTTTTTATTTCATAGATTTTTTCATCAACAAATGTTGCTACAATTAAACAAAAATAAATAATTTGCTAAAACATAATACAATACGAAGTTTGTTCGCATTTAGCCATTGAACTTTTTAGAGGGAAACAAACTTTCGATTTTGTTCACATTTAGTCACTAAACTTTTTTTCATTATCTATTTGCCACAAAACTATTTAAACTGTTCACATTTTACCTTTATGACCGGTAACAGCCGATCATAAGGGTAAAATGTGAACAGTTTCAATAGTTCAATGGCAAATAGATAACGAAAAAAAATTTAGTGACTAAATGTGAACAAAGTCGAAAGTTCATTACCCTTTCAAGTCATTTTCCCTAAATTTTAACATGTTTAGGTAGGATCGGTTTTTATAGGATTACAAGCGTTTTTTCTAGCCTCTAAGAACCGAACTCTGGACCTGTTCCCAGTTAAACCGGTTGTAAAAGCCGATCCGACCCGATTTTTAAAATATAAATGGTCACATCTTTATCATATTTCATTCTTTACTACAGATAGAGTCATCTCAATGTCATATTATTTTTACTATAAAAATATCATTTTTACTATAAAAATATGGTTCTTTGTCACACATTAAGGACGTGTTCGATATGAAAAGTTTGAAAGCTTCTATCTTTTCACGTTTGTCAAAACACTCGATTCTCAACATAAAGTCTCGTTTGTCACTACAAGCTTTTAACGTTTAGTTTAAACAAAAAGCTTCAAATTCAAAAACTACCTTATGTAGTGTTTAACAGAACGTTATCAGTTACCCGCTACCAACTAGTT